AAGCTAAAATTAAAATTATAATATATTATTATCATCAATATTTATCATTGTTCATCACCATTCCTGAAATACAGAATGTCCTCAGTATCACCTAAAAGCTGAAACAAACTAAGAAAAATACTTGCGCTACGACTTCAAAGTATAAATAATCATAGGCAACATACATATGAAATATGAAATAAGAATTGTGGTAACCCATTGTGCCTGTAAATACATATATTTTCTCAATCAATCAAGGTGTTTTATCCAGCTGGCGATAGTAAAATAGAAATAATGAATACCAGATATAATTAAAGCTTACAAAAAAGCTTGCATGCTGGGACATCTTGCCTCATACCTGTAATGATCTATTACTAGCCCCACTATCACTAACTATCACCAGAACTACTACTATTGCAACTACTACCGCTACTACCTTCTTATCTGGTTACTTAGCATCTACGGACACACTTATGAAACTGATGTTTTCACATATTTCATCCCTCAGAAACACTAGACGACTAGAAAATGTTGACGTTCATTCTGCATGTACCAGCCTGCAATCACCTTCAAGAGGGCGAAGAAGTATATTTCTTCAAAAGTTGTATGAAAATCGTAAACATTTTTAGAAGCTTTTTCTTGTAACCTGGCTGTGAATATTTCGTAAAGCTTCATCAATATATTGACAGTAGAGCATACTGCTATTATCCACAGGTTTATCTAAAAAGAGAGTTCACATAAGTACTCCCATTTAAATAATACCTCTGCGTATTTTGAAACATCAAGTAGGTGGATTCTTTATTTCATAGATAATAGCATAAATATGAGTATAGATTGAGTGGAAATCTTTTAGTCTTCTTAGGGTAAGTTTTGAAGATATATCTCTTGGGAACGATTCCAAGATCCTCAACCTATCTAGGCTTCAGTGGTTCGTGAAGTTCAAAACCAACCTTCTTGATGCCAGTGCTTACCCTGTAAAAATGTTGATGTTTGTTTGATTGCTGTCTTCTTATATTGTAGCATACTATAAATCGGGACTTTAATTATTCTTAACATTCTTCTGTTGTTCCTATTCAACCTCTGTCTTTATCCATCAACATTAATCCAGCTATCCAGGCAGAACATTTTTTGAAACAGCTGCCTGTACAAATCATTATCATCAATATTCATTATATCACGCTTATCATGCTCGGGAGTGTCTATAACTTCTGCCATTTCTGAAATTGGGAGTGTCCTGTCTCCAAAGCTTGATAAAAATATTTGGGCTATGATTCTGAAAGGAAGCCTGAACGTTTTCGGACAGGTGTTCTGTAAAATATGTAAAAATAAGAAATATGCAATCACGTCTTAGCTAAAAATAGATGTTCATAAAATATGTACCTAATAGAAATAAAAAATACCAAATGTAATTTAAAATTATGTCATTATCATCAATATTTAGCATAGTTTATCACCATTCCTGAACTGCAGAATGTCCTCACTCTCACCTAAAAGCTCAAAAAACTAAGAAAAACACGCGCTACGATTTTAAAGCATAAATAATCACAGATAACAGACCTATGAATTACACCATGTTGATATTTAGCAGTATTCTTTCAAATTTTGGATCCCTGTTTAACAGCTCGGCCATGGACCCAGGGGAATGCCTTCCTTAACTTTCCCCTCTCTGCAAGGACATGATAACAAGTTGTCTGTATCCTTCGACGTGCCCCCACATCGCAGAGTGCCCAAAAAAATTCCCTAACATTTCCCTAGCTACTCGCTACTCCCGATCGCTTTATTGAAGTTTTCTGACGCAAACCTTTTTCTTGAAGCTTATGTATTATATGACGATTACGATTCTCTGTACTTTTACTTAAAGTTTGCAACAGCTTTATTTTTCCTACCTTTTCAACTGCACTGACGCTTGTTCCTAGTGGTTCCTAACTATCTAAATGGGGCACCCTGCCTGGGCGACGGTAGTTTGTAGAGTCGTCCGCCACATTTGTCAACCATGCTCGCTCTTCGCATTGGGCCAAATTAGTCAGTAGCGACAAGCGAGATAGATCGATGAAGTCGATCGATCTTACAAGTCAAGATCCGGCTCCCCAAAGTCTTCTTCTAACCCCGAAAAAGACAATGGTTCTACAGACCAAAAAAGCCCTCCGCCCTTTCATCGCTTGTTGTGTCCAGCTATCCTAAGGTAGTGTAGAAACCGAAGGAACATTGAAGATGCCCCTTCCAATTCTATCCTGTCGCTCATGGACCTAAATTTTCTCGAAGCTATGTGCAATGCCCCGATAAATTCAAGACATAATCGACAGCCTACCGAGGATAAAAGGGCTAGTCAACCTCTTTCGCAAAATGTCTCAATTCACACTAACAAACCGGCTGTATAAGGGAGTTGGACCATATATAACCAGTAGGTTCATCAATCTCACAGCTCTTGCTCTGTTCGGCTGAAAACCCTACACCAATAAGAAAACCCTAAATGCACTTACATTTCAGTGAGCTGCTCTTATTCCTGTGCCCCTGCTAGTTCTGCGCAAGGGGAGAATGAGTGTCTGCATCCCTCGACGTGCCACCACATCGCAGAGTGCCAAAAAAAAAAATTCCCTCACATTTCCCTAGCTACTCGCTACTCCCGATCACTTTATTGAAGTTTTCTGATGCAAACCTTTCTCTTGAAGCTTATGTATTATATGACGATTACGATTCTCTGTACTTTTACTTAAAGTTTGCAACAGCTTTATTTTTCCTAACTTTTCAACTGAACTGACGCTTTTTCCTAGTGGTCCCTAACTATCTAAATGGGGCACCCTGCCTGGGCGACGGCAGTTTGTAGAGTCGTCCGACACATTTGTCAACCATGCTCGCTCTTCGCATTGGGCCAAATTAGTCAGTAGCGACAAGCGAGATAGATCGATGAAGTCAATCGATCTTACAAGTCAAGATCCGGCTCCCCAAAGTCTTCTTCCAACCCCGAAAAAGACAATGGTTCTACAGACCAAAAAAGCCCTCCGCCCTTTCATCGCTTGTTGTGTCCATCTATCCTAAGGTAGTGTAGAAACCGAAGGAACATTGAAGATGCCCCTTCCAATTCTATCCTGTCGCTCATGGACCTAAATTTTCTCGAAGCTATGTGCAATGCCCCGATAAATTCAAGACATAATCGACAGCCTACCGAGGATAAAAGGGCTAGTCAACCTCTTTCGCAAAATGTCTCAATTCACACTAACCAACCAGCTGTATAAGGGAGTTGGACCATATACAACCAGTAGGTTCATCAATCTCACAGCTCTTGCTCTGTTCGGCTGAAAACCCTTCACCAATAAGAAAACCCTAAATGCACTTACATTTCAGTGAGCTGATCTTATTCCTGTGCCCCTGCTAGTTCTGCGCAAGGGGAGAATGAGTGTCTGCATCCCTCGACGTGCCACCACATCGCAGAGTGCCCAAAAAATTTCCCTAACATTTCCCTAGCTAGTCGCTACTACCGATCACTTTATTGAAGTTTTCTGACGCAAACCTTTTTCTTGAAGCTTATGTATTATATGACGATTACGATTCTCTGTACTTTTACTTAAAGTTTGCAACAGCTATATTTTTCCTAACTTTTCAACTGAACTGACGCTTCTTCCTAGTGGTCCCTAACTATCTAAATGGGGCACCCTGCCTGGGCGACGGCAGTTTGTAGAGTCGTCCGCCACATTTGTCAACCATGCTCGCTCTTCGCATTGGGCCAAATTAGTCAGTAGCGACAAGCGAGATAGATCGATGAAGTCGATCGATCTTACAAGTCAAGATCCGGCTCCCCAAGGTCTTCTTCCAACCCCGAAAAAGACAATGGTTCTACAGACCAAAAAAGCCCTCCGCCCTTTCATCGCTTGTTGTGTCCATCTATCCTAAGGTAGTGTAGAAACCGAAGGAACATTGAAGATGCCCCTTCCAATTCTATCCTGTCGCTCATGGACCTAAATTTTCTCGAAGCTATGTGCAATGCCCCGATAAATTCAAGACATAATCGACAGCCTACCGAGGATAAAAGGGCTAGTCAACCTCTTTCGCAAAATGTCTCAATTCACACTAACCAACCGGCTGTATAAGGGAGTTGGACCATATACAACCAGTAGGTTCATCAATCTCACAGCTCTTGCTCTGTTCGGCTGAAAACCCTTCACCAATAAGAAAACCCTAAATGCACTTACATTTCAGTGAGCTGCTCTTATTCCTGTGCCCCTGCTAGTTCTGCGCAAGGGGAGCATGAGTGTCTGCATCCCTCGACGTGCCACCACATCGCAGAGTGCCCAAAAAAATTCCCTAACATTTCCCTAGCTACTCGCTACTCCCGATCACTTTATTAAAGTTCGCTGACGCAAACCTTTTTCTTGAAGCTTATGTATTATATGATGATTACGATTCTGTGTACTTTTACTTAAAGTTTGTAACAGCTTTATTTTTCCTAACTTTTCAACTGCACTGACGCTTGTTCCTAGTGGTCCCTAACTATCTAAATGGGGCACCCTGCCTGGGCGACGGTAGTTTGTAGAGTCGTCCGCCACATTTGTCAACCATGCTCGCTCTTCGCATTGGGCCAAATTAGTCAGTAGCGACAAGCGAGATAGATCGATGAAGTCGATCGATCTTACAAGTCAAGATCCGGCTCCCCAAAGTCTTCTTCTAACCCCGAAAAAGACAATGGTTCTACAGACCAAAAAAGCCCTCCGCCCTTTCATCGCTTGTTGTGTCCAGCTATCCTAAGGTAGTGTAGAAACCGAAGGAACATTGAAGATGCCCCTTCCAATTCTATCCTGTCGCTTATGGACCTAAATTTTCTCGAAGCTATGTGCAATGCCCCGATAAATTCAAGACATAATCGACAGCCTACCGAGGATAAAAGGGCTAGTCAACCTCTTTCGCAAAATGTCTCAATTCACACTAACAAACTGGTTGTATAAGCAAGTTGGACCTTATACAATCAGTAGGTTTATCAATCTCACAGCTCTCGCTCTGTTCGGCTGAAAAGCCTGCACCAATACGAAAACCCTAAGTGCACTTACATTTCAACAAACTGCTCTAGTCGCTGCAACAAGTAGAAACAGCATAAGTATACAAGTACTACGTTATTGAAGGTCTCACTCTTACAATTCGGGGCGAAGGGCGGATGGAACAATTCTAGCGTTTCGGCATGCGAACGGCGATAAAAGCTGTTTCATGTCAAAAAAAGTTACGCTAGTACTATTTCCGTAGTTTGTTTTCATTGTACAGTACGCATATTTAAATAATGAATATAATTCAAATAGTTCACTATAACATATTGACACCTTTCATGAAAGCATGGTTAGCACGCACACACTGTGTAAGCAGTCCGTGGAGGTCGTGTTACTAACAATGAGCTACTGCCAATAACTTAAAATATGACGAAAAATTGCCGTTAGACCATAAATAATCCCCCATTTTCTTACATTTGTATCCTTGTCCTTACGGAGCATTTTTGCAAAAGGAAAATTTCCAAATATTTCAGAAATCACCATCTTACAGTGTAAATTGAAAATACAGGTGGTTCCATGAGAAAAAAATACTTTTGGGTTTTTAAAGCCTACTTTTTACTATGTACTCTTTTTTACAACCCTGTTTATCAATTATCCTAATATCGAATGAAGTTACAATCGCGTGACAACAACACAAATATAATAAGATTGTCTTGCGATACGTTACGTACTCAAAAATTTTATTCGCCCTGTACCTTCAAAACGTAGTCCCTGATTTTGTAGTGAATATACTGCCAAAAGAAAATATTTCCGCTCAGTGAATTAAAGAGTGATGGGTAATATTGTCAGAATTTTTTTAAATAAAGATCTGGAATTTTGGGCTTGCTACCAACAATGGACAACGGCACAGTTATTATGTAGAGAACCTAAAAAACATTAAAAAAAAACTTCGAAATGTCATATTGCAGACTAGGTAGTTTTTATTTTGCAAGTATACAGGTTGTGTGTTCAATGATTACTTAGTGCGAGAAAAGCGTAACATAACCTGTATACTTGATTCCAACTTGTTTGCTTTAATCTAATCATATTAGACGAAAATACCACTGGTTTGCAAAATATTTAAAAAGTATGGTTTTATTATTTATTATTATTTTTTTTTATAAACTTTATGGCTCATCAGCTCTAAATATGTATTTACAAGAGTATGATGAAATCTTGGAAAAAATTTCTTCGCAACAAAAGGTGATAGACACATCCGTTTTGTTTAAAAAATTGTATAATATAATTATGTTTTCCGAATATCGTAGGGAATCTGCTGAATTACCCAAAAATACAAAATGTTTGATTTTGTTAAGAAGAAAAAACAGAACCCATCGTTTTTCGCATAAAAATAACAATTATTTTTCGGAATGGTTTGATTCATGTTGGCAAGGTAAACACATGCATTTTGCTATAAAATGCCATTTGAACGAACCCTGTATATTTCTCAATAAACTAGTAGTGATGACCTTAAGACAGGTGTTTTGGGATAAACAATTAGAAATTCTCAAAAACTACTTGACTAATCGACTCTAACTTTGTTATGATCATTTAGAAGTACGAAGCCTACGGATTTGAAGAGTTTCAAGTAGTTGAGTGAAATTATCGTCGCATTAGCAACAAGTTCCAAAACCTGCATTTGGCTTCGGTTTTCGGCTATAACATTTTTATTGTTAGTGGGATCTTTTTACGTGTGATCTCATTCTGTAGGTCTCATTAACACCTAAAAATCTAAACAGAAGAGTTTTTCGTTCCTGTCAACACTTTCGATTGAATCCCAAAAAACAATAAAAAGTTTTCCCACAAAAATTGCTGTACCCATTTCATGCACTTATGTTTTAAATATCTCCTTGAAAAACTTGCATCAATAAAAGCAGACTTTACAATTATTGCAGTAAATTTGACATTCCACACCAGCTTAAAATTAAAAACGTGCAAATACGTGGTATTCGGCTTCAGAATTGACATTTAATTGTGTGATGTACCATTATGTTACTAAATCTAACGAATGGATGTGGTGAAAGCACGTAAACGTAACTATTCTGAAAGTATTGTGGAGTTCCGACCTGTATATATGTTTTTCTACATTTTCTACATTCAGGGCATTTGCATACTAAATGCAGTTCCCCTAAAGCAGAACTCATGTTGTTGTATAACATCAGTTGAGTCACTAAAAAATGCCGAAAAAGCTAAATAGCATGATTTGAGCATGATGCATAACCTCACTTGTAAGATGTGTGTTGCTCCTTTTTCGGCGAAATATAATTCATTTAGAGTATAAATTACAAGGCATTGCAGTTAAAATACAAGGGAATTAGAAATCTGAATCCGATCCTGATAATAATAATAATAATATTAATAATAATAATAATAACAATAATAATCATCTTTATTTGTTGATATAATGAATTCTCAAAACATCTTTTGTTCAACTTCAAGCATTATTTTGTAAAATATTGATGAAACCAAGATAATAACCCTTAAAATTTTTAATTTTGTGTCACATAATCCGTTAAAAATAAGATATATAATATAATATCTTGAAATAAAATCTTTGACTTTTCATAGAAAAATTAATATTTCGCAAAATTTATTCAGAAAATCCAAGAACTGGCCCTCCGCAGTAACCTCTTCACTACCGTATTTCCAATTGTTTTGATTTATATCTCAACAATCATCTTAGCACTGCGATATCTTTAACATGTTTTTTTTTACAGAAAAAATTGAAATACCTACTCAAGCGTTTTGTCCTATCTTCTTTCATATGTCTAAATTTCTTTATACCTCAAAAAATTATCATTAATTCATTTGAAACATAAGTTTTTGAAATAGAAGCGCTCACCTAGTTTGCCGTACTGTTACACTTTCAGCTATAACTGGACCTGAAACAAATACAAAAATATTTTGAAATTGCCTCTCAAACTAAAGCTATCAAAATAAGCGAAAAACTAACGGTTTGGAGTTTGAAACAAGTGAAATATGTGATTCTTTGAAGCACCCTGCATTTCTTGCTGATTGTTATTTTAACATTTTGCTCTAGAAAAGTTTAGTCTATACAATTGAAAACAAAACCCACCTAGTTCTGCTAAGTTTTCCATCTCAATTGGACACTGGACCTGAAACAAATAGAAACATATTTTTGAATCCGATATTTTTTCAGAAATGTAGAACTTGAATCAAAAATTTTGAAAAATATAGGAAAAAGTCTGGTATATTGTACCGGTTTTTAAATTGTACCGTCTCAATATTTACTGACTTTTAGATTTCTAACGATATCTAGTTAGCCGGTTTTATGCCTTGTGGCATAAAAACAAATCTTTTCCTTCGTCGAAATGGAATGCACTATACCAGTCTCATGTATCTGGTAATACAGAGAACAAGTTTTTTCTCTATTCTTTCTTTTTTCATCTACTTCAATTAAACATACATACGATCCATGCACAGGCACTGTTCTTCTATGGATAAGTTATATTTATTTACTCGTTTCATGTTCCATGTATTTCACAGTAAATAAATATCACTAATACAATAAGGATCCTATTAAATTAAGAAAAAGTTAAGTTGATATATCAAAAAACTAATGAAACTTTTCAGTTGACACTTTTTAAGCTCTACATAATGTTTTTAAATTTCGTTCCCAACGGTTCGTTTTTGAGAAACCATCTCTATTTTTTTATATGGTCCTAAAAAAGTACACCCTGTATCTAATAGCATTTTTATATTACATTTATTTTCTTGGTTGTAAGGATAAAATTTGTTCTTTCCTGGTTTTTTTACTTTTTTAAGCATGCGTTGCAAACAAACGTTTGACTTGAAGTAAATACCTGTCACCGAGTATTGTTATTATTGTGTATTTGTGTGCTTTACTTAAATAAAATAAAAAAAATCACATTTTTCTTTATAACTAAGAAAAAAAATATCACGCAATACATCGTTAATATCAGATACAGGGTGTACCCCGGACCATATAAAAAATAGAGTTGATGATGGTCTCTCAAAAACGAAACATCGGGCACAAAATTTAAAAATACCATCCTGTAGTGCCTAAAAAGTTCCATTAGTTTATTGATATTCCTTAAAATAAAGTCAGAGAAAAATAAATATGATTTGCCCAAATTCTAGTTTTTTCTAAATACCTCAATAAATCATAAAATTTTTTCAAGTTTCTCAACGGCACTATACACATTTTCAGTGAAATTAACCGAGTTGTCCATCAGCTTTGTGCCTGGTACTTTCGTTTAGGAACGCGCCTACATCTGCGCTGATTGGATTTGATTGGCGTGGCATTATGACGCCATCGTCCATGTTCTTTCTCTATTTAATCAATAAAAATGTATTTATTTTTCATTGTTGTTTATTAAAATTTTTTTTGCAAGGATTCTGCACTCAAAAAATGGTTGACACCTGTCCCCCACGCGCCTAACGCAAGGTTAAGTTGCAGACTGTTTATGCAAAAAACAATATATACACACAAGTACTACAAACTCCCTAAGCAAGTAAAAATGTACTTACCATCACACGTTGCCTCATGATATAACAAACTTTAAGAACGGCACAAAAGACGCGTGGCGTTACGCGACTTGGTAGCACTAACCGACCGCCGACGCGCTACCCCGAGGACTGAAGCCGCGCAGTACCTTGCCGCAGCATCACCCCTCCTTTCCCCTCACATCTCCTACTCTCCCTACCGCTTGGCTAGAGTCGTACTGTTTACGCTGTTTTTTATACATGTACGTAGATTTTCACTAGACAACGAATCTGTATTTTTGAATATCATATACAGGGCGTTCGGAACGAAGCGATACGTTTATTCTAATAATGAAATAATAAAAATTACTAAAATATGTATGTTTAAATGGACATACGATGGGCAAACATTCTAGGACTATTAGTTGTGGAAAGATATGAATCTGTCGTTGCAAAGACTTTACGAGTCCCACATTTTGGATATTTCGTTACACAATACAAATTGTATCACCGACAAAAAACAGTTTTAAAGTACTTTTTGGGCTCAATATAGTATTCGAGTTCTGAAAGATTGAAATTTCTGATATCCATTACGGTTTATTAATAATAATAGAAAACGATCGAAAACCTGTTATAGACTTACGTTGTTTTGCCGGGAAATAGGGTTTGTGGCATATATTTCATTGCTTATTATTGAGAATTTCACTTGAATAGTGACTTATTAAAATGGCAAATGTTTTAATTGTGCATGTTTGAATGTTTTTAAGATACTTAGGGGAAGTCCGGAAAACTTGGCAAGATCGAATTTCCCGTTTTACTAAAAACCAAGTTTATCAGCATAGTTTCGAAACCAAGCAGCAGTTACGAGAATGTGTAATGGAAGCATTTAGTATGATTACACATATTACAATATTACGTGATGTTTTCACATATCTCATTCCTCCGAAACACTTCACTACATTTTTTTCTTTGAAGATGGGATGTGATACGTGAAATAAGGTAAAAAAATGGAAGTAAATCTTTATTAGCGGTATAGTACACGAACAATTCTACTTGATTTCATGATTTTGGAAGGTGAAAAATACGACAAAATATCACTTTTGAAGATACGTAATACCCGACAACCATGGGAGTTGGAGGGTTAAATATCAATTTATACTTTTGGAGGGCGTAATTCACTCTCGCCTCATATTGTTAAGAAAACTTTTATTTTTATTCATAAAGCTTACAATACTGCTAAATAAATCATATAAATTAGAAATTCGACAAATATACATAGTACAAGTAAAAAACTTATGAACATCAATCTGAAATACTTTGGACTTCAAAGTAGAGCAGAGATGACCAGTATTACAATGAAATAGAAAACATCTTTTAAAACAACGGGGAAAATCATTTTGTGGGTGAGCCTGTTGGCGATTCCTGCCTCAGACATTCTACATCATTGAAAATGACCTGTGCTCCACCACCACACGTGGGTACAATGTCACCTTTGTACAGCTTGGTCTCAGTCTCCCCATCCGTGTCTTGTTCTTGAGCAACAAGGCAGTACTTGCTCTGCTTCGGATTCGTAACGTCTTTCGCTTTATCCAGTTTGGTCACCGACTTGCGCTTTTTCATACTGGGCTGCATCACGGTGCCCAGTGGAACTGGTTTCACGGTGTTGTGCTCTAGCCATACTTCGTCTGGAAATATACCATTAATTATCGCCAAGAATTCGACACTCAATCCTAGTGTTTTGCTTGCCACGCCTACTAGCGAGGTATTGTAATCGAGAAATTTTTTGAAAATGAAATATGTTTGACCAGTGGGAAAGTTCACATTTCAAATTTTAATTTCGCGGCAACCATATACGGGAGGAAGTGGCAAGAGGTCTTGATCGACGCGTTCGGTGTGCAGGTTAAATAGTCACAATGGAACGCTGGACCGGAGCGCAACATGCTTACTTTAAGAGTGGTGATTCATACGCAGCTGCCCCTCGGAAATTTTGTACACGATACAACATTCGCCGACCAAGAGATGCCCCAACTAAGAACCTATTGAAAAGTGGATTAAGAGATTCCGTGAAACAGGCATTGACAGTCAATTTCGAGCGATACAAGGATATGAATGACACTTTTTTTGCTCCTATTGTAAGAACAGAACCTCGATTTAACAGAAACACGTGATTTCAACAGGATGGGGCAACTGCCCATACTTTCAGAGAAATGGTGGACACGGTGAAAACGTTATATTGCTGTTTGGAGACACTCAGTGGCCTCCTAGGTCACCCGACCTCGCGCCGTGCGCTTATTTTGTGTGGGGTTATTTAAAATCAAAAGTGTATCCCAATAATCCACGAACACTGGAGGAGCTTAAAGACAACATCCGACGAGAAATAAATAACATCACTCCGGAACTCGGCAAGAGATTCTTTGAGAATTTGTGCGCGCGATTAGAAGAGTGTGTCCAAAGGGATGGCAAACATTTGGAAGGAATGAAGAATATGTTAATAGTAATAAATAGTTTCTTGTGATTAAGTTTGTATTTTTTTTCCTAAATCAAAAAATGAGCTTTCCCACTGGACGTGAAGTTTTCACACAGGGTAACTACTACGCTAAGGACAAAGGAGCTTTGTAGTTTTTGAAAATCGGTCCAGTTGCGGTGGAGAAAAAGAGAAAAAACCGCTCGCATTTCGATTTTTTTTTTGACGTTTCAGAGGCTCCTGATCATTTTCGGGAAAAAAATGTGTAGGGGTTAAGGCAAAAAACTGTGTTGTTAAACATCGCTCCAGCTTCATTTTTGACGTTTCAGGCACTCGTGTTCATTTTTGGGAAATTTGTAGGGGGTGCGAGAGGGTCTATTTCAATGTTTTGCCCTTAAAACTTAGGATCACACAGGGAAGTATTTTCGTCATACGCGTTGAATGCAATGAACGTAGCGAGGTATACCGGCGTCGGGGGCTGACTCATGGCATGCTGTTTAGTCTTGGCAACGTTGCCAGATCTAGGAACAGCAATAATATCGCATTACATAAACTTCACCCTTTCATACTGTAAAATTTTCGAACAAAATCGATTATTATTGTAACGAAAACATCGTTTTTCCTGTTTAAAGTCAGATTTATTACTTTTACTTGCAACTAATTCATGACAAACTTATATAATCACCTACGCACAGCCGCGTAACTCTGGTTGCCTAAGCGTCGAAGTTTCTGGACAGCTATCCAATCTTTTGGTCGATGTTCGAGGGCGTCTCCCTGATACCCAGAGTTTCAGTTATACGAGGGCGTTACATTACTATGTTTATGGATAACTTTTTTTAAGAGGCGCTAACTTGTACAGAATATAGTTTTTTGAACTGATGACAGTGTATTGCCCGCTGGGAGAATCAACCAGTAAAATTTGATTTTTATTCTTGAATAAAGTTGGTTGCAACTTTGATTTAAGGATTGTTCCGGATACTGATAGAATGTGACCATACTTTTCAAACTATCAACATCAGAGAAAAAGCCATTTTTCTCATTACTGACAGAAGCTTAAATTAAATGGCAGAAGTAGGATCACATTATAATGACAGGGTATGTAAATATATATTATGTTTTGCTAGAACTTATTACATATCAACTATGGAGGTAAGTTTGGTCACTTTTCGTTTATAGAAAAAGGTGGAACTACTCAGAATACACTTTTTGGACGCAGATTTTTCGTAGAAATATTTTTTTTGTTGCTAACCACGGAGCTAAAAAATAGTGGATTTCAAAAATACCTGCAGATCGCGAACGTCTTCTGTGATAAGGAGTGCCATTATATCCAACTCTTTTAGGCGGACATGAAGTGGGCAAATGGTTCTCAGTTGTGGCCGATGGTGTTTTAGCTCCTTTATCAAAGATAGTATCAACATCCATATTTTCTGGTCTAACAATAACCTAAGGAAATGAATGTTAGTTTTATTTGTACTTGCTGAAAACTCAAAAGATAAGACATATGATGCAGATGGCCATCACTCATTACATTAGCAATAAATGTCGCAAATATGGAGGAAAAAGTCGACACTGAACCTGTTGGTCTTTACAAAAAATAGCAAGGATTTTGCAGCGCGAAATGGACGAACTGTTATGATGATTTTCCTCTTCTCTTCAAAAACATCACGTTTAAAAAAACAAGTTGCCTTTGGGAATGTTCCTCAACCATGATGCGTGGTTTTCAAGAAAAAAAAGTCCACTTAATTGCATATCCCTGGACTAGACAAAAAAAAGAAAAAGGGAAAAGACTTTTTCGAAAATTATGATCTTCATAAATATCAACAATAACAATTGATGTTGTATTTAAGCAACCATGGGAATAATTGACATCATTATTTTATTTGATTACCTCTGCATTCAAGGCTTCCCTCACTTTCTGAATTTGAATTTCTTTGGCCTTCATACTCGCGGCAAGGTGTTCTCGTTGTCTACGTAATTTTTCATCTAGTTCCTTATTCATCTTTTCACTATGCACTGCCAACCTTTGTTTAGTTTTCTCTTTATCCAGCTTGTTTTGATTCAGTTTCAAATCTTTCTCGTCTATTACGTTGTGCAGATTGGAGACAACATTTTGTAGTTCCGCCTGTTTCATAGCTTGGCCGACTTTTTCTTCTTCTAACATGGCGATTTTAGCGTCGCGTCTCTGGAGTTTCTGATGTAGCTTCCTGCCCATCAATTGAAGACGTTGAACTTCTTCTTTGGAGAGAATGTTCTCCTTGTCAAGTGTGACAATTCTTCTTCTAACTTCATCAGCTTGAAGGAAAAAATGACTTGAAATTATAGACTGGCCGATATAAATCTGACATTTATTTCTCCAGTATGTTCAGGAAAATATCAACTAACAATTTTTGATTTATTGGAATTTCGGAGATCTCTAAGAAAAGTATGGAAAACTCGACATTTAAGTAATGGCTTGACTGCAAGAAAATCAACTGCTACAAATGTAATCATTTATGTGAACTTCAAGTAGATTCCATCTACACGGATTATACGAAAGACTTTGTCAGAGTAAAACACAAACTGCTTTTGGCTACATTAGAAAGTTTAGGAGTATCAAGCAGTCACCTATCCTGGTTAAGAAGCTACCTCTCAGGACGACCACAGTGTCAGATATGCTGGTTCATTACACTGGACAACAAATTTTAGTTTTTTAATTGTATCTTGTGGGAAAAGTGCACTCTCTGCTCTTTGTTAATTTTCTAGCGCTGAACCCAAAATTGACAATGAAATAAAAAAATTAGTTGCGGTTTAGAAAAAAAACTTTTTATTTTTAAGGATATATTAAAAAAAGTAACAAGATTCATATACTTAAAAGAATCACTATATGCGCAGTCTTTTTGCTGTTCTTTTATGGATCGTTTCCGGAGCATCTCTACCAAGAGTCCAACAGTAGTCTGCAAGCATGGAAGGATTCCACTTTCCCTGGTGCCTTTTTTCCATTGTTGAAATATCTTGATGAAAACGTTCGCCGTGCTCATCACTTACGGCTCCGCAATTGTCAGGGAAAAAGTCCAGGTGTGAGTGTAGGAAATGTATCTTAAGATACATATTACAGCCCATCTTTTGATACGATGACAGCATATTTTTGACAAGGGTTTTATAGTTGTCAGCTTTTCTATTTCCCAAGAAATTAGTGACCACCAGACAAAAATCATTCCAAGCAGTTTTTTCAATACCTGTTAAAGTGTTTTCAAACTGTGTATCTTTCAAAATATTTCGAATCTGTGGCCCAACAAAAATACCGTCTTTAACCATTGCCTCACTTAGTCTTGGAAATTTCTGACGCAGGTATTGAAAAGCTGACCCATCTCTATCTAATGCCTTGACAAAGTTTTTCATTAGGCCCAACTTGATATGCAGTGGTGGTAATAAAAATTTTTTCGAATCTACTAATGGCATATGCTGTACATTTTTTTGACCTGGCTCTAGGAATTGACGAACAGGCCAGTTTTGTCTGGTGTAATGAAGTGCCTTTTGCCCGACTGTCCCATTCACACAAAAAACAGCAAAACTTTGTGTAGCCTAGCTGCAGCCCAAGTAAAAGTGCAACAACTTTCAAATCGCCACAAATATGCCATTGGTGCTCATCGTATTTTATGCATGTCAATAGGTACTTCATATTGTCATATGATTCTTTCATGTGAACTGCATACCCTACAGGAAGAGATGGTAAAATATTTCCAATATGCAATAACACTGCCTTTAAACTCAATGTTGAACTGTCTATAAACAATCTCCATTCTTCTGGGTTATAGTTTATATTTAAAGCCGCCAGTAAGCCGTTAATGTTACTGCAGAAAACCAAGTTATTCTCCATATTGAAAAATGGTTCTAAGTCTTTGTGGCGTTTACGAAAAACACATACCGAAACATCGTCTTCTAACAAGTTCCACTGCCGCAGTCTTGATCCAAGTAACTCTGCCTTACATTTTGGAACTGTGTTATTTTGTGCGGTTGGTGGCATGACGTGCTCGGTATAAAATCAGGAATCTCTTGACGTTGATGGCATATCTTCTTCCTGACGAATCACTCGATCGCCATGATCTGATTCGTTTTCTGATTCGCAAGTGTAGGATTCTGGGGGTTTTGGAATAGGATTTTCGTCACTGTGAGGCACAGGTCTCATCGCAGATGGTATGTTTGGGTAGTTAATAACCGATTTTTTTTCTTGGACATACCTGTGGCTTGTCCAACACAAGGTACCATGCAAAAGTAACAATCATTAATATGATTTGTAGGCTCTCTCCAAACCATTGGGACAGCAAAGCGCATAGACCGTTTTTTGCCATTTAACCAGCTCCTCAGACTTGAAGCACATGTATTACAGCAGATGTGGGGTGCCCACTGTTTGTCTTGATCACCTAGTTTACAACCGAAATAAAGCTGATATGCCTTTGTTATTAGTGAAGTAATAGACCGTCTCTGAGACGCAAAAGTCACATCACCACACACGTAACAAAACTGATCTGGATTGTTTACACACTTTCGAGACATCTTGCATGAACGCTGTCAGCCAACTGAGGAAAAAATGGCTAATATAAAACAATATAATGTACACGTATGTATAACGTAACACAATCATGCCGATTACATCATCTTTCCTTGCCGAATATAAAAATGTAGCACGTGCATTCTTGTGAATTACAGTATATTAACACTGTCACAGCAGGAACACATATAATTACCGTATCTCTAAAACTTGAACTAATATTGAAAAAATAAGTTTCATTCCGGTTTTAGCACATTAAAAATAGTAATATTTTGTTGATTTTATTTAGGATATTTTTTGGCTGTTGATCAGTGATTATTTAATCCCATCAATGTTTTTTCAGGTGTGCCCCAAGGCCCTCACATTAGTCCAGTTTTATTAAATTTACTTGTTACTGATGTACCATGCTTTTCGAATTTTATATTGCTCCTTGATGCGGTTTATTTTTGAGTACAACACAGTGGTATGGTCGCCAAATTCAATTGGTGTAAAGTTTTCAAACAATCAGCAACTAAGTCGATCGGAGTCAGAATGAACATAGACTCCTTGAAATGCCGCAGGGAAATTTTTGATTTATGTTTAAAATAGTTAATTGTGTCATAGATTGCCCTGGGGGGCTTGCACAAACATTTCTCGGTGTCAATGAAAGATAACACCCAATACAGAACTGTTTAATAATATAGATATTTTCCGTAGCCGTATTAAAAAGCGTATGAAAAATGTTTCTATTTAACTTTAGTTTATTAGGTTTTAAATATAAGTAGATTGCATATCACATGAATCTTTAGTTCTTGATTGGAATAATCATCCACATAAAGATATTGTAATCTGTCACATAAACAAAGTTTTTTATATACCTAAGCATGGACCACTATTAATTGAAACCAAGGGAGTAGACTCACTGAGGGAAAGTAGGCATTGTTCTCTTGCCTTTCGGTGAGTGGTTTCGTGTTCATTAGTAACTCATCAGGGCAGTACATGTCTTAGGTCTATTCGTGGAGACATACGAAACGGAAGGCAAACAAATGGATGTGATAATTTTTTGTATAGTGCTTATAAACAGACTGGAGACATTTGTCAAACAAGTTTGTGAATGCATCCGTTTTTCGAAAAAATAATATTGTTCTAGGTTCTTCATATCAGTAAACATTTCATCACAAAGTTAACTTCGTCTACAGACGTGACAGATGGATGTTAGAGAGAATTAAGTACTTTTCCTTCCAAGAATGACTCGAAAAGAAGCAACCCTTTTATTTTATTTTGCCTCCTCATTTTAAGAAATAATCTCCCAGGTCAGTATTGTCCTACAATGGCAAAAGGGGATTCTACTGAGTCAATCTACTCATTTCCATTTTTTAATTTCAACATAATTTATTAGAATTTCCTTGGTAGAAACCTATTGATAGAAACTATAATTTACCTTGTACTGTAATCTGTTTATCAAATTTATCTGTTGTTCCATAACACTGTTTCAGGCTTGTGTAGACCTTATTGATCATATTTTCACACTCATCCAAAGCACAAAGATCTAATTTCAATAGTGGTATTTGGGAGCAATTTATATGTGTCGAAAGCGCAGGCATTTTTATCCTAGCTGGAGTAGCAGGCTTCTTTATTGTCCTCTTTGTTGTCACCACTGTAGGGACTGGTTCTGGTTTAATTACCTTGAAAAAGAAGGGGATTCACATAAAAATACAGCAAAACTAAGTTAGCGTGTGTTGTAAAGTCGATGGTGTATTCTCCATGTAGAAAAACTTGCACTTATGACTGCTGAAATATAATGTTTACATCCACTTTTTAATAGTGGTGCAGTTTATCCCCACTACATCACTGTTTTGCTCATGTGTGGGAAAAAATAGATTCAATATTTATACATCAAAATAGAAGTCATTTGCCCAGGGTATGCACCAATAGGAATTGATCTTTTATTCTGGATACAGATGATGAAATTTGAGTTTATAATAAAATTATACTAACTTAATCCTGATAATAATGGAATGCACAGCAAAAAATAATACATCAATGCATATCATATCAAACTTAGAATAGGGAGCTGTCAGTTAAAAATAATGGTAAGCAGAGGAAAAATATCTTTAAGGAAGTGGATGAGTTTGTGTATTTAGGATCACTGATTAGTAATGAAATAAATGAGGAATCTGAAATAAACTATAGAATCGGTAAGGCCAATAAAGGTGAGGGAATGCTGAACAGGAATATCAAGTCAAGAAATGTATCTAGAATCTCTAAAATAAGGCTATACAGTATGATCATCAAGCCAACCCTTTTGTATGGAGTGGAAATCTGGGTACTTAGGTAGGAGAGGAAAATTTCAATGAGAATGTTCAGAGAGGCCAACGTGGAGGGAGGATATGTTAGGAGGTTTAATGCAGAAGTAAATCATTTGTATAATGAACCAAATACAGTAGAAGTACCTAGGACCAGAATGTGGCACCTGGAAATAATGCTGCAAAAAAGAACAGTAAACATATACAGGGTGTCCAAATAGTCAAACAAGATACAGGAAGTCAAATGTAAAATGATTTTAGCAAAAAGGTTGCCATATATTCCAAAATACCCCGTACAAACCCCTGTCAAAATGGCCAAGAAATGAGCTTCCAAAAATCAACAAAAATACAGGGTGTCCCATTTAAAAAATACAAGTTATATTGCCACTCATTTATTGGACAGCCTGTATAGCAAAAAATAATATTAGATTGTAGCCCTTAGCGCTGCCTACAACTTTTATATTTAACTTTCTGCTGCAACTCCCAACAGTAACGAAGAAATTGAGCTTTGGCCCAGAATTTGTACACCAGGAGAGTTGTAACAAGGAGAGTTCCAGATACCAAGAAAAAAAGGGGGAGACCAAGAAGATGGAAGGATGTGGTTATAGAAGATTTGAGGAGCAGACATGTCAGAGACCGGAAGAAACAGGCATTAGTCAAGAAGTGGTGGCATAAACTTATTAAGCTCAGGGTCTGAAGGGCTGTTATATAGCTGTATATAGATTCTCAGAAAATAACAGTCTGGAATGTCCCAGGATTTCCCAAGAACTTAATTGGACCAAGGAACTGGGACTGCAAAGCTCAATTATTTTCTTACATTAGGGACCAGTTTAAATAAATCTCATTCATTTGATCCATTGTAAAAATAGTTGTAATTGTAAACTTGATTTTAACACAAAAACTCAATTTGACACTGAAATTCCTGGCATCCCAGTTCCTTTGACAGCTAGTCCTGGTATTCACTGTTCTCTTCAAGAGGACTAATTCTTTATTCTTTTGGTACATATTACTAAAAACAATTTTTCTTACCTTAACATCCTGAGACATTTCAGCAAACTTGAGGACATGCAAATTTTCTTCTAAATCTCTAACAGATGGATTTATGCACACAATCATCTGTACGCTACCATCTCCTTCAAAATAATTTTTAAAAAGATATGTCAATTTGCTGTCTCTATATGGAACGACCTTATTTGCCTTGCTCCTCTGATTTTCCCTCAACATTTCCATACATGTTCTCAGAGTCATCAACGAATTGTTGATAGAACTAGCTTCTTTCAATCTTACTCCGGTATTCTGAGTTCTGTTGGTTCGCTCTGAGCCAGCCAAGTCGACAAGACTTAGCTGACTGATTGTGATTACATTCGTTTCAGGGATTACCAATTTGCCCTTACTGTCGTATGTTTCTTGCTCAAACTGGACAACTCTGATATTGAAAATTGAATGGCTGCGACTAGATTCGGCATTTAAGCATGTGTAAGCCATCTTTTTGCGTCTCTGGCCAGCATTGAATGCCTCAAAGGCCTCCTGGGCACTTTTAACTTCCACCTCAGTAACTCCATTCACGTACATGTTTCTACGACTATCTTCTCTTAAAATTTTATTTTGCAACTTAACACCTGAGCATTCTTCTAATAAATCGTATACACTATTGTTGTAGATTTCTACATAAGTAACAAATACAGAATATAGAGTTTTCTCATTGGTAAGAGGAATACTGACACCATCATTAGTAAAATTGATTTTTTCTTGAGCTCTTCTAGGCGTCTTTGGCGTCCTATTTCCTGTTCTAACTTCATGAAAACGATCCTGCATAGCATCATCTTCAGTTTGAATTTCAAAGCCATTCATTCTATCAGGCTTTAAAATATATTTTGGAGCTTGATGGGCTTCAATCGAGTTGAATATGGTGTCTATACATCTAGGCATTATCCCAGGATTATCTTGCTCCCCAGTTAAAGTATATGTTTTGCCTGATCCAGTAATACCGTATGTGAACAACAAACCGTTTTTGCCATGGAGCAAATCGTCCAACAAGGGATACGCAATATGATCAAATATTTCTCTCTGTGTCGTATATGATGTAAATATGTGCTTGAATTTGTAACATAATTCTTTTTTGGTACCTTTTACCTCCTGTGTAACAGCGAGTTCTTGTGACGAGAGAACTTTCATGCAAGAAGTCGGTTCTTCATTATTTAAAGGTTTCAAACGGCAATATACAAACACAGGCTGTTTTTCTGTACTTGAACTTGAAGAAATGGTCGTTTTTTCTCTCCTTAAACGCCTAGGGGTTGGCGTGAATTTTGTCGCTGCGAACATTTCGAATACGTGCTTAATAACTAAATCAGTGTAAACAGAGACACAGCTTAAAGCTAATCACCCTCAAAATTTTAGATTTCTTACAAATATTCTGTCCGTTTAACTTTTGTTGTAATCCGTTGAAAACGTTACGAACCAAATTCAAAAATTGACGTGGCTGTCAAGGTCACGCATCTTTTGACAGAACAATAATGAAGCTTGGGCGTGCTTGTTAAGCTGGTCACAGACGGCGCGCTGCTTTTCATATGTGTACGCGAAAAGACGTACCGAAACCATCCAAATCAACTATTGAAATATACGCCACTAGACTCTAGAAGACTATCCGTAGCCAAATTTTTCACAAAATTGTTGCACACCGCAATGCAAATGGAATTGGAAAACTGTCACTCTGACGTACTAAATGACTCCGTCGTTACCCCGTGATAGACATACATCTTGTCACCTAGATTGCGGTGTTGCCAGCTCATCGAATAATTTTGCTACCTCTGCTATTTTGCTAGAATGTTATAAAAAAGAAGCTTTGGATAAAATATTGAGGGATACCAATGGATATATATATATAAAATTTGAAGCGTAGCAATTCCTTGGACTAAAATAGTCTTTTGTTCGAGGCTTTGCTAATAGTTTCGAGATTTTTCAGAAATGAATGTGAGTACATAAGAATACTTACAAGAACGTTAGAATAGTGCACGTTTATTGTAAATTTATTTTCAAAATAATGTATTACAAGGTGGTCAAGATAAGGATCAGACTAGGTTAAATTCAGTAATTACACAATCTTACATCAAGCATACTTAAATAAAATGAAAAAAAAAACACTTTTGTTTGTAACTAAAAAAAGCAAATGTCGACGATTGCCGAAAGACTGAAGCGTGCGAGTGCTGTACCTCGTTGCGGCGATACGGTACGGCCGGGTAGTACAGTCACGCCCCTTTCCAGCTTCCGGTCAACGTAAACGTCGAGTCGCTTCGGGAGCAGACGCGCGGAGTGGGAGCTGGAAAGGGGCGTGGCTGTACTACCCGGCCATACCGTATCGCCGCAGTGAGGTACAGCACTCTTTAGTCTCTCGGCAACCGTCGACGCAGCGGAATGTCTACGCGCTCCGTGCAGAGCTCTATTCTGTTTACTTTTTTTAGTAGTGGTGTTCACTATAGGATTTTCGATTGTGTCTCAGTGGTGCTCTAGTGTTGTGACGTGGGTGTCAAGTGACTCCAAAGTGGAAATTAGGTTTACTTCCAACTCTTCTGGCCACCCTGTAATATATTATTATAAAAAGAAAATCACAGAAACGTGCACTCATCTAACGTTCTTGTAAGTATACTCATGTACTTACATTGATTTCTGAAAAATGTCAAAACTATTAGCAAAGCCTCGAACAAAATACTATTTTTAGTCCAAGGAATTGGTGATAGTCTATAATTGTCAGTATCGTGCTTTGACACTAATCCCTTGGCACTATGTTTACTAAATATGGTGCAAAAAATCAAGCGTTGATTCTCTGGCGTTTTCAAATCTGGAATCTCAGCCCCGTGTTTGGGAACCTACAATGCTCTACCTTGGTTGTTGGAGGATACGTGGGCACCAAATGTCCAACAAGGGTAGGGATATGATGCGTCTGACTATAATTCCACATGATCGACGAGTTATAAGTTGGATTCAAGTTATCAAGCAGTCCATTTTTAGCTTCCTCAACATGAATGCCTAATATCTCTGCATATAAGACGGATACTAAAAATAGTAGAGTAAAATGAAAATCGTACTTCTATTAAAATCATATAATTTTAGCTCAAATAGTTAATAAATACATTTATATAATAAAACGTTGTTTTTTTCCAATTGTTGGAGTATTCAAAAAGTATTTTATCCTATAAAACTGGGCATTTAAAAAACATTAACCTTCCGCCGCATGGACGCCAGGCGACGCAAAACGTAAATTGTTTATTTTTTTGGCAAACATTGCTACGCCTCAAATTTTATATATCTCCATTGGTATTCCTCATTATTTTCTTCAAAACTTCTATTTTTTTATAACATTCTATCAAAATAGCAGAGGTAGCAAAATTGTCTGATAAGCTGGCAACGCCGCAATCAAGTGTCAAGAAGGATGTCTATCCCGGGGTACCAACAGAGTCATTTAGAACGTCAAATTTTGCAATTTTCATTTTTTTGTCCAACGATTTCAGCAAAATTTCGCTACGGCTAGTTTTCCAGAGTCTAGTAGAATACAGTGGCGTAGCCTGGGTCATTGCCGCCCGGGGCGGAATCATAATTTGCCGCCCCTTTGACGTCAAAAAATAATCATGTTGGTGAAGGTGAAAAAAAAAATAACGTAATCATCTGGAAGAACAGTGCGAAAAAATATTTATTTCCAAACCATATAATATACAGGTCACGTGTAAACTGTGAACGTGAAAAGTATACTGTTGTAAACTATAAAACTAAAATTCTACTTTTCTGGCCTTACGCGCAGCAAAATCATTAATAACTTCTTCAAAATTAATTTTGTCCGTCACGCTTTGTTCTATTGACAAAATGGCCAAATCACTCAATCTTATTGAGCTCATGGTGGACCGCAAGTAATTTTTTATTAATTTCAGCTTCGAGAAGCTACGTTCACAAGAAGCTACACTGATAGCTATAGTTAAAAAAATTCGAAGCATAATCACGATATTTGGCACGCAAATGCCATAGTTATATTGTTGTATGAATTCTAGGAGCTCTAGCGGTCCTTTCTTGGCGTCAACTTGAACTTTAGCATCAGCCAAAGCAAGAAAATTGCGCAATCGCTCCCTCTCGATTTCGATTTCGTTAACATCAATGTCACAGTGCTCATTTCCCAAGTTACACTTATATTCCGGGTTAAGTAAGTTCGTCGGTATTAGAAAATTATACTTGATATCTAACTCGTTTAGCTGTTGAAATCTTGTCTTAATTTCTTGTATAATTCTGTCCACCGATTCGAACATTTCTTGCCGTAACCGATTCTCATAAGTTAAACCAGCATCTGCAATGCTCTCGCCAGCCATATTTTTTATCTTTCTTGATCGTCGAGGAGTTATTTCGATGCCAAGATCTTCGCATATATTTTTAGCATAATCAAGTGCATCATTGACGAGAACATCTCGATTTTCTACTAAAAACGATTCTAAAGCGTGAATTTTCATAGCACATTGGTGCACATTCAGTCCTTTCGTCTGGAGATATAATTGTGCATCATTTACTTCCCGAAGAACACGACTCCATAGTCCAAGGAAGGCTAAAAATGACAGAGCAGTAAGCAATAAACCAGCGTCTGATCTTGTTCCGGTATTTTCCGCTATGTTTCCTGAAAGTGATTCCAACACTTCAAGGATCTCACTATAATGGGTCTTCATGACAGCTACGGCTTCATATCTAGAGCTCCATCGTGTTTCAATTAAGCGCTTGACTCCTTTACCTGTAACGTCGGTAAGAGCTTTCCAGCGGTGAGTAGAGGATGAAAAGTAATTGAAAACCCTCTCCATAATACCAAAAAACGTCACTGAGTCCACTGCGATTGATGCTGCCTGTACTCCCACCAGATTTAATGAATGATTAGTGCATGCAACAAACTGAGCATTTTGGTTAACTGCCTTGATACGCATTTGTACACCAGAATGTTTTCCCGACATGACAGCTGCATTATCATATGCTTGTCCACGGCAATTTTGGATATCTAGTCCGTCGCTTTCAATCTTGTCCAAAATCATTTTAGTTATATCCTCAGCGTTTTTGCCTTCAGTTTCAAGGAAGTCAATGAATGATTCTATCACTTGCACCTTGGTACCGTCGAGTTTCACATAACGGAGTATTTGGCTCGTCTGGTCCTTGTGGGAGAAGTCTGGCGTACTGTCGAACACAATAGTGAAATACTTGGCTTCCTTCACTTCAGCAAGTATCTTTTTTCGAACATAATTTCCTAAACAATGAATGAATTCATTTTGAATCTCAGGTGATAGGTAAGATACACTAGCTTTCTTCTGCAGTTTCAGCTTTGTAAGGTGTTCACAAAGAACCGGGTCGTACTTGCCAAGAAGATGAACGAGTCCTAGAAAGTTGCCTCTATTTTCAGCGTCATTTTCTTTCATGATTTCTCTATGACCTCGCAAGGCCAGATTTTGTTTAGCAAGAAATCTGATAATATCCAGTATCCTGACCAGTACTAGTCTCAGCTTCTGCTCTTCTTTAACAATCATATTTTGTTCTTGCTTGTCGATCGTTGCACCAACTTGAAGTCTTACCTCCAAAGATTTCCATTTATTGAAGTTGTCATTATGTGCTGAACTAGATTCATGTTCTAAAACTTTGGGATTTAGTTTCCACCACTTTTTGAAACCATTAATGCTGTTGAATCCAGCTTTATCGACGACCCCAAACAAACGGCAGCAGAAACAGAACAATGATTCCTTAACTAAGGAATAGGCCATCCATGTTCTCAGAATCTTTTCGCCATTTGGTAGAGTTCGGAAAAACCAATCACGGCTTAATTTTCTTGCCACTCCTTTGAGCCCCTTGGTAGATTCTACAGGCCCTGGCCTAATCACTTCAGCAAACTTACAGTCAAGGTTCTGTACTGCTTTGTAGCCTCGAGTCACAAGTAATGTTCGAAGATTATCGGTAATGGAAATAGGCCAAGTTCCAATATCTTTGTAATCGCTGATAGATCCATCCTGAATGTCAAGAGTATCGATCACTTCATAGCTTTCGTCTTCCACCAACAGTTTCAATTGTTCACCTACTACCGCTGGTTCATTAGGCAAATCTTCAAATTCGGTAAGTCCGCCACTAGAAGACGAAACAGCTTTTTGATTTGGAGTGGCACTAGTACTAGCTTCTCTATCAACTTCAGATTCAGCTGTTTCGGTAGTCGAGTCAAAATACTTGAGTAAAGATCCCTTATTTTTCTTATTTTCTTCCTCTCGGGCTTTTTTTTGCTTCCTGTAAAAATCACCGCTAGGCTTATGCCTCTTCATGATCTGAAAGTAACATTGATTTAGCTCGTAAGTTTTTAGGCCAATATAGGGGCAGCAAAATTTGAACCTATAGGCAGGTAAGTAATGGCACGGGAAGGGGTATTAACTAATCAGTTATAAAATTATTATTTTTTTTAACTATCAATATTTCGTGCTAAAACAGGTAATCTATTTATATTATTTTACATGAACTCGATCACTAAAATTTAAATACGTAATGCAACGAAACATTGGCTTTCGAAAAAGCGCGCATAATCTCCCAATCTCCTGCGTTCACATATAATGTGTTATATTTTCCGTGAGATCTACGATAAAAAGCATACTAAAACTTACTTACTGTTAAAACGGCAGCTTAGCGGGATACAAAACCGCGAAATACTGTTACGAATTCCCCAAAAATTCACTGGCACTGTCAATTCGACACTCAAGTCGCTTTGTTTTTTGTTAATTGAACAAAATGAAGTCAAGGGAAGGGCGCGCGGCGACGCGACGCGTGGGTGCTCCTAGAATACGTGTGGGACAGAGACAGGCAATATGCGCGCGCAAGACGGGGCGAATAAGTTACTGGTATTGGGAGGAAGGTACCAGGGTTGCCAGATGTGGTGATTTTTCACCAGATCTGGTAGTTTTTCATATGCTCGACAAAATATTTTTTCCTCATGTAGCACGGATCGGCGGCGGTTCCCTCTCAAACGGAGTCTACAGCAGGCTCGTACCACGTGAAGGGTACAAAAAGGGTCAATTTTGCCGCCCTACTATTGGTGGCGCCCGGGGCGGTCCGCCCCCCCGCCCCCCTCCTCGCTACGCCACTGGTAGAATACATTTCAACAGTTGTCTTGCGTGGACATGTTATCTTTAGTCGGACCAATAATCGATATGTGAAACTGTAGGTCAATTATCAAGATTCGTTGGTATTTATTTTTTATTCCCCCTAACCGTTTGTAATGTGCATTATGAGTATTTGCAACGTCGTGTTTCATCATTCAGTTTACGAAGTCTGTCACCAGCCTTAACCTAATACTGTCTTGCAGTGTTGCCGAACCTACAGATTTTTCGGTATTGCTACCGAAATGGGACTACTTGCCGAAAACGTGACTTTTCACCATTTTTTTGAATAACTCGGATATTATCAAACTTTTCCCCAGAAGAGAGCTTGAATCGAAAATAAAGCTGAAAAATGTATACAGGGAAAAATCAAATTTGTCTGAAGGCTTGAGTTCAATGCGTACGAGAGAGAAGTGTGTATCAACACCTGTTAGAAAGAGATAGAAGCCGGCTGAAGAGCGAAGGTCATCACTAGCAACTGTGACGCAGAAGATTTTCAATATGCCGCGTTGCCAATATGTTAAACCAGAAAATGTTCGCACAGGTTTCTATCATAGGTTAGGTTACTGTCAAGCCCAAGAAGGAGCTCTATTCGAACATTTGATGTTTATTGTAGAAATATCTTTGACTTCCACCGATGGTGATAAAATCAACACATCCTTAGTTATTGTTACATTTACAAGCAGTCGGAAAATGCAACAAATACCGTTACGCAATACAAATTGTCACTGCCTGCGAGTACGCAGGTGAAAACCATTTCGGAGCAGGACAACGCTTCCCGATGAGCGCCAGATGGGTACTGACCAAAATCGCCCATCTATGATCATGGAGGGTGGGTAACCTTGCCTTGGAATGCACGAGATGCGGTGTTGCGAAGCGATCGAATGATGCATAATTTGTGGGGATCCTGACCTTTCATTTAGACCTAAAATGGATTGCCGGTAGAACCGATCGATTCTAAATAGATTCGACACAATTTAAAAATGTGTACGATCACAATAATACCATTATTTGGGCGTAGAGAAGAAACTAACGCTTATATTTTCAACATGCATCTTAATTCAAGGAACTAGTATATCATATTGGCAACGCGGCAGATTGCCCCGCCCGCGTTGCTAGGCAATGTGGTGATGAGCTTCGATATCCAGCCGGCATATACGTCTATACACACTTCTTTCTCGTACGCATTGAACTCAAGCCTCAGACAAATTTTGTTTCCAGTGTATAGGCTCCATGGTCCCCACAACCCACTTCACACATAGCGAATAAGTTAACAAGTAGAATAAAACAAACAACCTTGTGTATAATATAGGCATATATTCGAAACAAAATCATCTCAATAACACATCAATAGATAAGAGTTTCGCTTAAAAATAGTCTTTTCACTTGTTTTTAGTCTTATACGTTTTCGTTTACACCCTCATTGGAGTATAAGGTAATTATTTACACTAAAATTTATTTTCCGTGTTCAGTCACAAATGTGTTCATGGCTGAGTATCTTCGGCATTTCTGTTCTCAATTGTGTCATCCTCCATTTGATTGTACCTTCGGTTCACCAAAGCTTTTATCTTAAGAAAAATAGTCTTGCATGTTAAGCCATTGTAAGTACACATTCCTATCAGGAGCAGCACAAAACCGACCAGCTGGAAAGTAAGGGATATTAATATTTAGTCCGACCAAACATGTCGATATGGAGCAAGGCAGTACGCTGCGCAGCAAAAGAAATTCAGGTTCTGCGCATAGGGCATCTCTTTTGTGTGTGCACTGCGTAAAGGTTCTGCGCATGAGATGTCTGTCTCTATTGGTGCCATCATGACTGTAAACAACTCCAATTTTCACAGTTCAGATGAGTAAATAGAAATATTGGATAATACAGGGGAAAGTTCACTTTTTGATTTAAGAAAAAAATACAAACTTAATGAAAAGAAAATATTTGTTACTATCAACATATTCGTGAATTCGGCGGGTTTTATTTATTGAATAACATTCCGTCCAAATGTTTGTCATCCCTTCGATCCCACTTCTAATCGCGGGAGGCAAATTCTGAAACACTCCCTTGCAGAGTTCCGCACGGGATGTGATGTAAAATCTGCGTGTGAGATGGCATTACTGGAGGTCTAATAATTTGCTCACACAGCAAATATCACTGGATTGCAAGATGACATCTTATAGGTTTTTTACATGATACCCGTGCCAGAGTGATGTTGTCTTTAAGCTCCCCCAGTGTTCGTGGATTTTGACTTTAGATGACCCCACAAAAAATAATCGCAGTGAATGTCTCCAATCTTCAATATAACTTTTTGAGGAAAAAGTGCTTTCACCGTATCCATCGTTTCTCTGGAAGTATAGGTAGTGGTCCCATCCCGTTGAAACCATGTGTTTCTGTTAAATAGACGTTCTGTTCTTAGAACAGGAATAAAAAAGTGCCAATCATGTCCTTGTATCGCTCGGAATTGACTGTCATTGCATGACCGTTTTCATCTTCAAAGAAATACTATAGAGGATATGGCGCACCAAACAGTCACCTTAGCTGTTACTGATGTTTCTCTTTTGGGTTCGTTGGTGTCCAATATCTGCAACTTTGCTTGTTCAAATAAATGTCTAAGTGAAAATGGGCCTCGTCACCGAAAACAACGTTCACGAGTCTGCGCTGCGTAGGAAAAAGATTCAACATCAGTTCAACACAAGATTTCCGTAATAGGTAATCACTTTTCTTTAAAGAATGGACTGATTGGATTTTATAACGATGAAAACCCATCTTTTTCTTCTTTATGTCATGCAGTGTTGACCTAGGGATTCCCAAAGCAGCGGGATGCTTCCGTAGAGAACGCCGAGGATTTGCAATGACCGACTCACGCACATTTTCTTCGGTTGATACAGTAGGTGTGGGGCCAGGAATGGGTTGACAGAACCTCTTAGTTCACTTTTTCAATAGGTTATTACTTGAAGCATCAATTTCCGAAGGGCAGCTGCGTATGAATCACCACTAAAAAGTAAGTCTCGATAGCAAAAGCACGTTGCGCTCCGGCCCAACGTTCCATTGTGACTATTTAACCCGCAGGCCGAACGCGTCAAGACCTTCCTCGCGTATACGATTGCCGCGTAATTCAAATTTGAAATGTGATCTTTCCCACTGGAAAAAAATGTACCACCAAGTAATAAACCTATAAAGCATGGAAAAACCGTGAGTGATATGCACATAAAGATTGCGGCAGGTTATGTTGACATTTTTCAGTGCGCTCAAAGTCTTCATTTGGGTTGGGTATCTTCTGGTGGAATTGTTTTTAAATAAGTGATAAAAATTTAGCTTGGTTCTCGAAGGATTTCTTCTGCAGAATCTTCAGCCTCACATGTGCGCTTTGCTGAAAAATCCACACTGAATGATTCTTGCATAAACCTACCTGTAACCAATGAAATGACTGCCCCAAAAACGCCAAGCTGAAGATCCAAATTATGATAGTTCTGACACTGTCAAGCACCATTCTTGTAGTAGCAGATATTTCCTTTGTGACAGTAATTCCAGCAAAATTGAAAAATGCTATGGAAATTATTGTACCTGAAATTTTAGACAGCATGATAAATAGCTTATAGTGCTACTATAAGTATAGCAAGCAAATATTGTAGATTAAAAAATCGATGCAGAAGAGATTAAAGGAAATTGTTAAGTTACCTAATATCGCCATCATCAACTGCCAGCTGTGGCCAATTTGTACAAAAGCATCAATGGCGTCTTCTAATCTATCTCCATAGTTTCTGGTAACTGGGGGTCCGGCTTTTATGTAGTAGAATGGAATTTGTAAAAATCCTAGCACCAAAAATCCAAACGTTCCTGAAATATTACATTACAGCGTTGAAACCTTATTTTTAAAACAACCCTCGTAATAACCTTGATTGCCCGGCATTATTAACTAAAATAAATTTTGTGGAGCCAAAGAGATCAACTCACTCTAAAGCAACTTTTTGCAGCGCTAGGGGTGATACCGACAAATCGGACATGTCTCCTGCTAAAAGGAGGCCGTATTTGACACTTATTGTCAAGGATGCGGCATCAATATTGATACCATCTAGGTGATTTTAAGCAGTTTTAGCAAACATATGCGCTGCTTAATCAGAGTGTTTATTTTTTCTAATAGAGCAGTCCTTTTTAGATATATATTTTTTGTGTCAAATTTACTGTAATTCATGTTTGAAATGCATTTTATAAAATGTACTCTTATACACAAGAGCATGGAACTTGATGTTTATTATTGGATGTTTCTGTAATTGGGTGCAAACCTGTTGGAATAAAGATTATTATTATTGTTATTATTAAATACATTTCTTGATTAACTTATGTTTATTTTTAAACAGTACCACCTTGCTAAAAGCAGAACGTTTTTCATCATACACTACTGAGACAGATCGAACATTGTATTTAGTATTATATCTTTGAAATGGGATGGATCTGATTCTTCCAGCTTCACCACAACCTCTTCAGATGTTGAATTTTTGTATACCGCGTTTAAATTTGAGGAGACTAACTTTCTACTGCAGTACCTCCTGTACCAACGCATTATTTTATTGACCTCTGTATTCTATACAGTGTGAGTCTTCATAAAGTGCACATATCAAAATCAGGGAAACTACACTCTATTTCATCAAATGATAAATCATCAAAAAAAAAATTAAAAACAATAATTGATTTTTTATGAATATTTTAAAATTTCAGTCAGCTGCTAACCCTATTTAAATAAATCGTTACAACTTTTAAACTGAATGTCCTATCATATTGGAATAACTTTTGTAGTGATTGCAAATAATAGGCCGTACCAGTAAAGTGAAAATTTCCACGAAATTAAATGCTATAAATTTAAAATAAAGAGGAATATGCTGAAACTCACTATTTTTTCAATGATTTTTAAAACAATTGCTAAATTTCAATAAAAATTGGCCTATTTACCCTACCTTTTTTAAATGTTAAGTTATTCTACATATTATTAGCTTCCTAATGGTGAAAAATTGCAAGTTTATTACTTAGATACAAGTTTTTAAATAAGCGTTTCAAAAAGCAGTGAACTCAGTTCAACGCCAGAGTAGGAATAAAACAACAGTATTAACCTACAAGAATCATTCATTATCTTTAACAAATAAAATCAAATAGACTTGTCTATAGGATAATCATTTTGGCTTAATGCATCAAATGTTCAAAATGGCCACCCCGTTGCTGCAAACACATTGTAGCGCGAAGTGAAATTTGATGAGTTGCCCTACGAATCATCTCGGGAGCATTTTTGATTTCGTTTGCAACACGCAAAACTCTTTCTTCAAGTTCCGCTTAGCTATTTATGGAACTGCTGTACACCCTTTGTTTCATTGTCCCCCATAAAAAATAGTCGAGAGGTGTGAGATCTGGGGAACGCGCCGGCCACCCAACAGGTCCTTGTCGACCGATTCAGCGGCCTGGATAATTTTCATTAAGAAAAGACCTGACAATCAGCGAGTAATGGACAGGACATCCATCCATTTGAAGCATCATTCTTCGACGGGTTTGCAGCGGCACTTCTTCCAACAGCAAGGGCAGTTCAGTCCGCAAAAGCTCCAGAAATCTCTCTCCGTTTAATGTTCTCGAGAGTATTATTGGACCAATCAAAAAGTTGTCAATCAGTGCGGCCCACACATTTACAGAAAATTTCACTTGAAATGTTGAAGCCCTTTTCAGTCTAGGGTTTTCATCTTTTGGGCACCACTTATGTAAATTACGACAGTTCACGATGCCGTCTCTCGTGAATTGAGATTCATCTGTCCACAGAATTGTTTTCGGGAATTCAGGATTGTCTCTTGTTTTTATTAGAATCCATGTAGACATAACGCACCTTGGACGCCAATCCACATCGTCATGCAAGTGCTGCACCCTTTGATAATGGTATGGATGCAACCCTGCTTTCCGCAACATGCGCCAAACCGATTTCTGGGATACGCCATGACGTAACGCCAAACGTCTCGTACTAGTAGTCGGGTCAGCAAACAAAACATCCAAAATGGCTTCTTCGATAGCAACATGAATAATAACACCTGGTTCGCGGCGATCTCGAGGCAAACCAAGTCCAGTGTTAGCCAGTCTTCTATGTACTTCTTGGAAGTTACGGGCTGATGGAACAGGGCGTCGATTTGGAAATGCAGCTAGACAAGCTGTGCAAGCAGCTCTAGCACTCCCTCGGTACATTCCATAATAATAATGGATATGGGCAATGTGTGCCGGAGGGAAACCACTTATACGTGGCATCGCGACCAAAAAGCAGCAAACGCAACTGATAAAGTTGGCAGGAGAAACACAAATAGCTGCCTAACTGCCCAACATTCAATTGTTTTTCAGCTGGGCCCGCCTCCCCACTCGTACTTCAGCCCGCGCGACTCTACATTGAATCACCAAAAAAAGGTATCTACATGATAAACAATGGTGCCTAGCAAGACGATGCGCATGGGCTTTTTTATAAACACTCATAGAAACTGTTACATTTGAGTAATAAACTTACAAATAAAAAAAGGTAGGGTACAAGGGACGATATTTATAGAAAATTTGAAATTATTGTAAAAATGATGAAAAAAAACAGATTTTCATCACAATTTTCTTTCTTCTAAATGGATGTCATTACTTTTCCTGGAATTCTTCACTTTTCAGGAACGTCCTTTTAAAAGCAATCACTATAAAATGTATTCCAATATGATAGGACATTTAGTTTAAAAGTTGTAACGAGTTATTTCAATAGTGTTAGCAGCTGACTCTAAAAATTTTAAAATATTCATAAAAAATCAATTATTGTTTGTAATTTTTTTTTGATGATTTATCCGTCGATGAAATAGAGTGTAGTTTCCCTGATTTTGATATGTGCACTTTATGAAGACTCACACTGTATACAATAATTATAATTCCATAGCAGAAACTTTTGACATTAATTTTGATTATATCAGTAAAAAGTTTGTCAAACTTCAGGGAAAAAATTCAATTTCTTTTTCTTTGTATATTGCCCGGTAATTCGATTAGTCTGTTGCGCGATTATGTATAAATAGATAAATGGTCATAGTTACCTTCCCATCCTACAGCTTGCAATGATGGAATGTTCTGGCCAGCAACAAATTTCTCTTCAACTACCATTTGTATTGCTTGGATTATCTGGGCGATTATTATCAACAAATCACCTAAAACAACATATCTGCTGAATGAGCAGGTACACTCAAATAATATGAATTTCTGTCATATAGTCTCGTTTTGGCTCGATGGCATGGGCGGACGGGTGAGCCGGTACGATGTCATGGTGGAATAGCTTTTTTTCTTCGCCAAATGGGACCGTTTTTTCTGCAATTTGGCGTGGAATCGGCGCAATAATTCGTCCGATGTCCGTTTTGCCATTCTCCAAGTAGTAGATGTACAAGGTCTGTCGCAAAGTAAACAGGACTTTTAAAATATATCCGATAAAAGTAGCACCATCTATTGTCGGAGACTAGCGTTGGATAGGTACATCTTTCATTGATGTCCTGTCAAAATTTGATGACAATCACCAGAAACCGACGAAAAAGTGCGTGAATTCACCAAAAATATTCTAAAATCTTCATTGAGATAGATAGAAATGGAGCTAAATATTCATCATTCAATCCATCGCATTTTGACCAAGAATTTGGTATTTATCTCTGGTCTCTTAACCATTTGATTCTGAAATGCAAGGATGTGGACTGATTTTCGAAATCTACATAGATAGTACATAAAAGAAAATATGCGTGGTTTAAGTGACCTACCAGAAAACTATCAATATAAAACAATAATTATTATTGACAAAAAATAGAACACCAGCAGAGACGGTTTTTAAGCGTTACAGCTCGTTTGAGGTTAATGACTCAAGTCTGTTAAAAATATTGGTTATAACTATAATGTTGGTTTTGATTGAGTTTTTATCTAAAAATATTTTATGGTGTAGAATGGTTCGTTTAGTTAAATCAAAGTATACTTTTTTATGCTATCAACTTATTTTCTTTTATTTTTCTGTTCAGCTGTAGTCCCACCTATTCCTCTGATTCCGAAGTATAAGAAGCAGAACTTGCAATCTGCCATCAATCATGGACTTGCCCTCATTGCATATTTCACCTACGTGAAAATGTAAAGGAACAAATAAATAACCATTTTGCTGCATTGAGATGTTATACTATACTATAACTATCTAAAACTGTAATGACTCATCGATGTTCACGTGAACATCACTTAACTACCAGTAGTCGGCTGTTCATAGGCGGGGTATGAATGTTTAACATGGGTGAACTAGATTTATCACATGCTTAATAAAGAGTGGTTTGAAACATATTGTAAGTCAAAAATTTGGGAATTACCTTTATTCATCGTCGCTTCCACTTACATCTGACAGTAATAAACTGTCGCTATCGCTTTCCTCGTTGAAATTGACTATAACTGGCTCTATGATGGTGTCGATGTGGTGGTCAAGCTGCCACATTTTTGTTTCTTCCTTCACAACATGACGGATAGCATTCTGCCAAGCTTCGGGCGTTACTAGCTGTATGGAAGTCTCAAGTAAAACCTTAACGTCTGGTAATTTGAAGGTTGTGTTATGGCGCGCAATATAACCCTTCACTTGAGCCCAGATGAGCTCTATTGGGTTCAGTTCACAGTGGTAGGGCGGTAACCGCAGCACAGTGACACCACATTGACGGGCCATCTCATCAGTCACGTAACTAATGTTCGCAGGTTTGTGCTGTTTAATTTTTTCATACAATTCCGCTTTCACACACGAATCGTCAAACGGGATTCCTTTTTCCCGCAACCATTGCTGCATGTCACTTTTTCGAGATCCCATAGTCGGTACACGTTCGGCTCGACGACTATGGTAGGAAGCATTATCCATGACGATCACAGAGTTGGGCTCAACTCGCTGAAGCACCCCTTGAAACCAGCTCTCGAAGCAGCTGGCATTCATTTCGTCATGGTAATCACCTCCTTTCTTAGAGACGAAAATCAAGTCACACTCTTCTAAAAAGCCACTATCGTTCCCTGACGGTCCACGAAGACCTGTTGACAAACCTTCAATGCTTGCTTGTCGGTTACTCACTACGTTTTTGTCTATCCAGGTTTTTTTAACTGGATGACCTGCATTTACCCATGTCTCGTCCAAATAATAGATTTTTCTGCTTTGTCGCCTATATTCAATCATTTCGCGTAGGTATTTTCGACGCCAGGCGACTATTTCAGGTCTCTCTATCAATACTGACTTCCGATTACGCGTTTCGTAACGAAAATTAATTTCGTGCAGGGATTTCCTCATTACCTCGACGCTCATTTGGGGTATAATTTCATTTTCCTTGATCGCTGCATGTACAGCCTTGAGGGTTGGTATCTCATTCCTAAAGAAGAATGAATGTACGGTTCGCCTTAACGCCATTTTGCTATCGTCATCCAATTTAACGGCCTTTCGTCCCTTCAAATTGAACTTTGGATCAGTAGTAGCTCCAGTTTTCTTCTTTTCATGCACCACCCTGCGAATGGTCCACTCTGGAACGCCTGTCATACTTTCACAACGCGCGAGTGCATCTCCCTGCGACATAGTTCTGTTCAGATAATTGAACACGTTGAGCACAATTTCTTTCGCGTCCCTCTTCAGTGCTTTACGAAGCAGTCTACTTGTTCCCTGGCTTTCAGTACTTCCACTCGTGCCATTTGTACTCTCCATGGTTAAGTATAACCAAAACAGTAACCACAGAAACCACAACAATAACAATCACACAACAATTCTTATAAAAACACACAATATGCGATCGCTCAACGAAACACGTTCCAATGCGTTGCCGACGCCTATGAGTCTGCCGGTCGAGGCGCGTCTTTGATTTCATTGGTTCTACCGGCGGAGAACAATCAGCCATTATTTCCATCTCTGTCTGTGCTGTTGACCACCGCAAAGCCACAGAAACGACATATGTCGTACGCTATACGGCTGTACTGGAAGGAAGCCGGGATCTAGCTCTGATCACGTGTTGATCACGCGTATGAGTCATTACAGTTTTAAATAGTTGTAGTATAGTAAATAAATGATGAATTAGTCTGATACGTCAGATATAATACCTATATAAATGAAGCGACTTCGAGTGGATAACGCGTCGGGCACACAAGTCCGATACGTCTGGTATATATGAAGCTACTTGGGCCATATAATGCGTCGGTTATTTACGAATATGCATCCCGGTCAATGAGCGAAAATCATCATTCGAAAATTTTTGGTCCGAGCAAGTCCCTGTATTAACTCTGAAAGAGACTAGTTTGAATAAAATAAATTCTAATAAATCCGATTTTTCGACACAAAAAATGTTTGTTCATTTTTTTCTGTCCTGTTTACATTGCGACAGACCTTATAGCCATATACGAGAATGAATTTCTCTTGTGATAGTGGCGCCATCTGGCGGTGAGGATACTTATTTGGTCCGCCCTCGTATGTCATACCGACAAGCTCCAATAAGGACTATACAAAACCGTCTGCGACTGCTGAAGGGGATGGTGGACAGAAAGCTGTTATTATATCATACTTTGTATTATTTTTAAATAAACGTGACATTGCCTGTCGGATCATACATACCTGTTATTACATCATTTCTGCCATGACTGTCATCTGACGAGTCTTTGGAAAAGAAATCTGCTACTCCTACTAGGGCTAAGCCCGATATGATGAAGAAAATACCTGTCCATTGTTTCTTGACCATAACTCGGCCCAAAAATGCTACACTAAGGATACCAACAAACACTATAACAGAACCTGAAATAAAAAAACAAATAAAAATTCACCTTATATTTGTCTGTACGAAAATCAATAAATTGATAGTTTTCAAGATTTTGTACTTTGTGATTTTTTTAAAATCACCTGAAACAGGCCGTTTGAACCTAAATAACAAAAAGCTTTGTGAAAAATGCACGAGAATTAATGCTGCCAAAATACCACACAAGACAATAGAACTGCTATTCTGAAAAGTTTTCATTTTCAGTTTCTCTTAGAGCAAAAAGACCTAAAAATTGTGAAGACAATTAGGGCACACATTACTGAAAAAAACCTGTCCATATAGTCAGCTTCTCAAAAAGGTGGAAAACATCAGGAGTGAAAGGCCCTATGATTTCAGGAAATCTTATTTCTTCCCATTGTTTCTTAATCACCCTGCAAGAGAATTTTAGATTCATGGCACTTTTAATCTAAATCTTGAGATCTACAAGGTATCTATTTTTGGATTTTGAAAATTACTTCAGTTTAATAGAGAACTAATAGTGATTTGTAACACAGTAGTATTGTTTTGAACATGTAAGTATACATTTTACTGGCAAGGTATACATTTTTTCACTCTCACCTTCCATTTGTCTTACTATTAAGGTATTTTTGATATTGTACAGACATAAACACAATTGTAGCTGCTTCTGTAAGCCTTTTTTATAAAAGTAATTTCCAGGATAAGATTTTATCATATATTAACATATACCAATAAACATATGATAACTTTCCATATTCTTATATATATATATATATATATATATATATTGTTGTTTCCCTAAACCTAAACGTTAATAACTGTAAGTTAATTTAAAATCATTTTGCACAATAGTTAGTATTTCTTCTCAATGTTATTGCAGCTCCTGATGAAGATGGCAAAGTCCATTGAAAGCTTGAGATTAATAAAGTATAAAGAGTCCTCTCTTTGCTTGAATTTTGTTGAAGTACCCAACAAAAGGCGGAAGCCTTACTTTTCACCTAACTGGTCTAAACGACAATGACCACATCTCAAAATATATACAAATATACATATATAAAATGGTGCATTTATTAATATTAATATTTGTATTTAATTTTTTGCGCACAATGAGGATACATGTGTCTGTTCAACTCAACAAATTCAGACTGTTTAGAAGAAGCCAGTCAAGGATTTGTTTGCTTAGTCTCACAGTTTCTAGTGAGGATCAAAGTGCACTTGACATAAGTCAATTTTTGGCAGTTCTGTCATTAGATTCATCATATATTTAGTACTATTTTCTAAAAGTACTAGTGTTTGCAGATAATTATAGTGGCAATTTCAAGACATGGTAGCTCTCACACAGTGCAGGATAAGCCTAATGAAGGTTGATGATTCCATTGGTAAGCATTATTATTATGCTGTAGCACTTATAGACAAATGAGCCAAAAGTGTGCACTGAAACTATGCAAATATGGCTAAACATACATTCTTGGCTCTTTTTAACTTATTTGAATTTGTTGGTTAAACAAGATAATCAATTTTACCTCTAAACATTTGGAAACTAGATGCATTTGTTAAATTTAGTCCTATGTACATTATAGAGGTAGCAGTCATGTCACACATTGCTGGTATGAACAAAATGAACGGATTAAAATTTCTGTTGCCTTTTGTCAGCTCATGGACGTCTTCTGTACCATCCTGAAACAAAAAATTAATACTTGTTTCCTAGCTACTTTACATTATTTGTAGAGCTGGCCATTGATCGTTGAAATCGCAACATGATTGAACATTTTCAAAAGAAATGCTTTCCATAACCCATATATTTAACTACATTTCCTAAGATATGTTTAAACATATTTGATTCAGAAAATGTTAATTTGAACTATCTTAAATAAAAATAAATTAAAAGCTCAGTCAGTGTGTCAGTTAATTTATTCTTCTCTTAAGACAGATCTGGGATTCCTTAGGTGTATCAAATAGGATTCAATCCTCATTAACAAAAAAAGGGTATCAAGTAGATGTTACAAGTGTATTAATATTAACCTGCAATGTTTTTGACATTTTCGTCTTTTCGCTTTTCGTCCATAGCTCTGCCAATGAATCTATTTTAAAAATCTAAAAAGCTTTTTGTCCTTGGCATAGTACATTTGTAACATCCAAAAAATATAATGTCCCATTTTTGAAATTCTTCGAAATTACAATACCTTGTTGCCAGTTAGCATAGAAAGAAAAACCAATAAAATAAAAGCAATGTGCAGAAAACCTATACAGTGTCGTTAAATTACTTACAGATCTCATGCTGTATATTTTATAAAGAATCTTGAATGCCAGGAGGCAAGACATTTCCCCTAGAAACATACAACTTGCTTGGAAGAAGGGGTGATCAAAGTCCTTTTTGAGACCATCTTTACCAACAGATTGTATCCTATCTGCCCATCTGGAAATTTTAGAAAATTACAAATTAGTAATAACCATTGCAAAAGGAAGAATATAAAATATGATGATCGATTTTCTGAATTTAAATAAACAAATATTGAATAGTATAACCTATAACTTACTTTGTACTGATGGTATTTATACTACCCGTAATTACCATTACAAGAGCAATAAGAAGCTGGTAATTAGACCACGCCATATTTTTTGTTAGATCCTATAAAATAATTATAAAAAGTAAGGATGAATTGATATTTCTATTATTAAATTAGTAAACATTCATACACAACAATAAACACACAAAGAACGTCAACGCGTCAACGGTCAACGTCAAAGAACAACAAAAGTTGACGTGACCTAGCAGAGCTGCCAATGTTGCCAGCTTTTATTGCGGAGCGTGATAACTTTTGTACACACGAGTGCAAAATAAGTGGCGCTACATTTAATGTGTAAGAAAACTAAAATGAACTTGACCTGCTAAGCTAAATGATACGCCTCACGCTTCACCAAATTCTACAGACCACAAGATGAAGTCACTTTCGGAAAAACCTTTTTTTACGGTCTTCTTAAGCGTGACAACCTAAAACTTGCCTGGAATCAAATTCTTTTCAACTGCGTCGGACAGTCTTAGCAAAGTGATCTCTTCAGCGGGCTCTCCCCAATTGGCGAGGAAGTATTGCGAAAAATATCGAAAATGAGATAAATCTACTATATGCTAATATTTGAGGCCTCAAGTTTTGAAAATCTGTATTTTATAATAACTGTGATACTCTTCCAAATATATTTATGAAATTTGGCATATATAGTCAAAATCACGAAAGATGACTATTATGTCATACCCTAAATTGTAGTTAAATAATCAATGGATATACGTCTCTGATAAAATCACGATGTCAGGAACATAATGACAACAAATTTATATTATGATCTTACGAAGTTAGGTTATTTCACTGATTATTTTTATTTTCATTTTATTCCATGGTTTTGAGTGATACCTTAATAATAATTTTAATAGGGAGTTTTTGTTTTGAAAAAAACAGTTATGAGTAGAATACCTTAAGACAGGAACACCAAAGACCAAAGTATTATTCGAAAACAACCGAACCTGCTTTAACATAACCTAACTATTCATCTTTCAAATATGATCGATCATGCAACATGAAAACATCGTGTACCTTTGTCGGATACATGCAAATTAGCAATACAGTTTGTTTAGACAATAAAATTCTGTTTGTCTCTGTCTAACATATTAGAAACTTCATTAAATATATTCACAAATCGCTGTCGTGTGTCTTTACTGCAGATTAAAATGATGACGTAATCGTCATCTTTCGTGATTTCGACTATACCTTCGATGCAACAAGGTGCGTTTTCGTTATTTCTACCAGCGGCGTTAATTCGGAATTTGCATCGAATACTTTTGGAGAAAAAAGTGGCACCCACTGCTTTCCCTTTGAATAAAAACCTTGTTCATTCGTTTCAAAGCAAATTTGATCTTTTGAGTTGATAAATATAAAGCAGTTTTAATTTGATTGTTTCACTCAAGAACGATACATACGATAAGAAAAAATATTGTTTGGAATTCTCATTTATTTGTTAACACATACCTATGCTTACTTAGTTTCCTTTTAGCCGATTCACAAGCGAGATTTCTGCTCGATACACGTTGCCATCGATAATAAAGATGGTGTCTTAGCACCTCAAAGCTGCAAAAGACCCATAGTTTTGCAATTTTTCGCTGAATACTTAGATCTACATGATAAATGGCACGGATATTATGTAAAAAACCTATGAAACATGAAAAATAATTCATTCCACGTTTGCTCGCTATGATCGCTGTGAGCGTCCATCTATACAGGAATGACTACACGCATTGTTGGTTGCAGACAGCAAGCATATTATGTTTTGCGAAGCCAAATATACTAAGTGACATATAAATCCGAACACCCAGTTTAAATGGTTTTATTTTAATAAAAGTTGGTGAATGTATTTATCTTACTGTAAATAACAAGTGAAAAAATTTTCGATTTCGTCAACTTAGTGAGTTTGATAGGGGCCGTATAGTGGGACTTCGGGAAGCTGGACTTTCTTTTCGGGCAATTGCAGTTAGAGTGCAAAGACGTGTAGACACTGTGGTTAGGTGTTGTCAGGCATGGCTTCGAGAAGGCCGTACGCAAAGAGCAAGGGGCACTGGACGCCGCCGTAGAACAACAGACCGTGAAGATCGCCGCCTAAGATTATTGGCCTTAAGGGACCGTTTCTCCACTACCAGGTCCATTGCAAATGAATGGTTTGCAGAACACGGAAGATTTATTGGCATGCGAAGTGTTTATCGACGAATGAGAAGTTTTAGCTTGTTTTCATACCGGCCACACTGGCTCCTCCCTTTAACTCGAGAACACCGACGTAATCGCCTTGAGTGGTGCAGACAACGGTCACTCTGGGATCAGGAATGGAACAGTATTGTCTTTAGTGACGAGTCTCGATTTTGTTTAGGCATGCACGATGGTCGTGCCAGGGTTAGAAGGCGACGTGGTGAAAGGAGGAATCCACAGTTTTTTGTTGAAAGACATGTTCATCACACTGTTGGACTTATGGTTTGGGGTGCTATAGCTTATGGTTCCAGGACACCTTCAATCTTCATCAGAGGTAACATGAACGCGCAGCGTTATATCCACGAAGTTCTAGAACCCCATCTTGTACCCTATCTTGACACCCTGGCAGATCCAACTATCCAACAAGATAATGCCCGAACACATGTTGTAAGAGTCACAATAGACTTCTTTCAACATAATGATGTCACATTGTTACCATGGCCACCAAGATCTCCCGACTTATCCCCAATTGAGCACGTGTGGGATATGATGGGTAGGAGATTGCTCAATTTGCAACGTCCTCCTCAGACTCTAGAAGCACTTCGAGAGGAGTTGGTGGTTGCCTGGAATGAGATACCACAGGAGGACATGATCAGAAGCATGCCTAGGCGCGTTGGAGAATGCGTAGCACATCAGGGTGCATCCACACATTATTAAAGGTCAAAGGGCTTTAAAGCAGTGCAATCATTTTGAAATTTTTATCATTTACTTATTATGCTTCATTTATGTACTTATACAAAATTTTATTAAAATAAAACCATTTAAACTGAGTGTTCGGATTTATATGTCACTTAGTATAGTTTGTAGTGTTTATCTCTGAAATGTGAAAGAAAGAAAGTTGGTTGAATAGCAAGGTCGCATCTGGATGATTATGAGTATTGATCTGTAAGTATATAAAATCAGTGATATTTGATGTGTGACAAAATTATTACTGAATATGCTGGCGATGAATCTCTATTAGTTGTGTCCAACGGGTTATTGGAGACGGGTTATGTTCAAAGTTATAAATTACGATTTTTACCGTATCTTTGTGTTTTCAAAAACTTTGAGGAGCACTTCGGGAAATCGCCACCGCGCCCACGTTGTGTGCAATTAAGTCACATTCACAGAAAAATTAGGAATGACGCATCACACATCACACATTTTCGCAATGCCTCACATCTAGGAGCGGATTTCTATTTTCTATTGACATCGCAAAATAAATTTCTATAAAATTTAAATGACTGGAAATGAAAAATAATGTAATATTTTTTGGATGTGCAACTAATTTCTAGCTTTGATACAAGAAATCAATGGAATTATCATCAACACATATTATTAGCACACAAATCCTCGCAATGAACATATGCACTGCCGTTTCCTTCTAGCTGTAGTACACAACTTATAGCTCAGACCTCCATTAATGCCATCTCTGAAGCAGTTGCTACATTACATCAGAGCGAAACATTGATGACTGAAGCATCATGATGTTTAGGCAACAAGTACAACTACAAAACGTGTTCACAGTAAGTGTCCACCAGGTAGTGTTAAGTTAACATCTTGTAGCACAACCTACATAATGTCACAAAAAAAATCGACATAATGTCACTTTTCAATATAGGTAATTTGAACCGCATTTAAAGCATTTCAATTTTTAGTTATCAGTTACAAAAAAGCAAAAGATGGGTCAGTTGGAAACGTGAGCCCAAGTATCCGCACGGGTATCACGTACCTTGAAAAGTGACATTATGCCGATTTTTTTGACATTATGTAGGTTTTTCGCCAAGACGTTGACTTAGCACTTAGTTGTACGTGTTGCCTAAACGTCATGAGGCTTGTTATCAATCTTTGGCTTTGATGTGATGTAAAATCTGCTTTTGATGGCATTACTGGAGGTATAAGCTGTAACTTGTATGTGTTGATGATAATTACATTGGGTTCTTGTCTCAAATACACTTAACTGAGATTCAAAGCTAGAAAGCTGAGCATCCACTTTTTCTTATCCATTCTGGAAATTACATATACAAATTTGATGAATTTCAAAAATGAGGGAGATAAGAAATAATTATATTCACTGTACACTGTCGAATTACAAACAATATACATGCTAACAGTAATTACACACAACGCGGCCGCGGTGATGATTTCCCTTAATTCTCCTCAGTTTTTCGTAATTTATAACTTTGAACGTAACCTCTCTTCAGAAAGCACAACATATAAATAACCCGTCATATTCAGCATATTCAGTAATAATGATTTTCTCACACAGCAAATATCACTGATTCTATACACATGCAGATCAATACACATAATCATCCAGATGCGATCTTGTTATTCAACCAACTTTCTTCTCAGAGATAAAAACTACAGACACGGATCATTCAGCCTCACAAAACTATGCAACCAGTAATGCGTGTATAATTTAGTTGAGTGATTCCTTCATAGATGGTAGTGATGCAAAGTTTCGTTACTTTTTAGGACTTGTAAGGACTCGTTACTTTCGAACTTTGGACTCGTTAGTTTAGTTACTATTTGGACATTTCGTTTAGAACCTACATTCTATATATTATATCAAATTATTACTTTGGGATTGATCCAATTATTATTTTTTGTCTAATGCCTATTAATTTTTTTGATATTTGATACGTAGAAGGTACTTATATTTTAATCTCGTCGTTGTGTGACGTCTGGTTCGTTGGCTGTACGCTGTAAATAGTATTTAACAAGTGGCATAACCAGATGGGGACTGTGGAGGAACCACTCTCCTCACTCTTTACTTTAGTTGAGTAGCGTCCCCTGCCCTAACAGTCTGGTTACTCCCCTGCCCTACTTAACAGTCTGGTTACTCCACTGTAAATGGTGTTCAACAAAATACTTATAATAATAAAACATACCTGAAACTAAGTTCCTTTTGCACCTAGGCATATTTTCGTCTTCCACCCGCCGTTTTGCCCTTTCTCCTTCCAATGAAAGAGTCGGATGTTTAGTTTTCAAATGCTTCCTTAAATTGCTAATGTTTCCATTTTTATGCGAATAAATATTTTTACAAAGATTAGACTTTGCATTAGCTTCCGATATATTGGTGAAATGCATCCAAATAACACTTCTTTTTTGAGTTTGCGATTCTCCTGAACTGGACGCGGATGATTCCATATTTTTGTACAAATAATAATTATATTATTGCTCAAGCTTGTACGGCAACGTCCAAACCAGTAACAACCCGCCAACCGGTAGCTCTCAAAGTCAAATGAAAAGTGTACAGGTGTACACAAACATTCCCAACCTAAAGCTCCGCAGTCCGCAACTCGTTTGATAGAAGAGTATCTAAAGTTGCCTAAGCCTAACGATATTCACATCATTTCATTTCCACTCAGTTTACATCCAAGAACCAAGTCACTTGCTGCTGGCGCTGGCAGTACTGGCTACATTAGATCCCAGTAACGTTTGTATCTAAAGTAATGTATAATGTAGTAACTAACAGTAATTAAAAAGTATACATAGAAAAAGACCGTATCGCATTCAAAGTAACGAATTCAAATAAAAAGTAACGAGTCTTTTCAAAAAGTAGGACTCGTTACATTTAGTTACTCATTTGTAACGATTATTTTGTAAGCGTTACTTAATTATTTTACATCACTAATAGATGGATGTTCACAACGATCCTAGTGAGCAAACGTGGAATCACTGTTTGCGCCCTAAAAAACTACCTAGTCTGCAAGTTGACATCTTATAGGTTTTTTTGACGTTTTGTAAGTTTTTTATATGATACCCGTGCCGATTTTGATCCTGGAGTAAAATGATTTTTATTTTCTTAAACTAAAACCACGCACCGGAGAAAAGAAAAGCACAAGATCAAATTTGCTCAGGAATGAATAAAGATGTTAAAGATGGTATTTATTTATGAAAGCAGTGGCGTACCATTTTATTCCTGCAAAAAGATTCAATGCAAAATTCGCCAATGATAGAAATAATAAAATGTTTGTACATCAGCAAATTCAACTTGATTCATTGAAAGTGTACCAAATTTCATAAAGATATGTGGCATCGGAGGTAACGGAAAACAACGACAAAATAAAAATAGTGCAAAAATCGTTTTTTGAAGTTTCAGAGGCTTCTGCTAATTTTCAGAGAAACATTTTTTCAGGAGGGGGGTTAAAATTCTTTTAGTTGTGAACGTTGCGTCCTTGGTGTCTGTGGAAGGTGTTACTATGTTAAAAAAAATGTTTCTGATTCCCGTAATATCGCGTATTTGTTAGACAAAGTAGTCACACATATTTTCGATACACTGGTCACATAAATATGACTTTTATTACATCAAACAACAAGCGCAGCTACGTTATAGTCAAGCGGAATCGCATAACAACCCTTTGTCGCGCGAGTCAGTAGACTACACAGTCGAGCAGCTTCGCAAGCACACAAGGCTGTGACTC